GCCGTCCATGACGACGGGGCCGGCGACGGGGATATCTCCGACAGAGGGTTCTGGGCCGCCGGTGGGGGGTCCTCCACTCCGGTTCCTGGCACACGACGGAAAAGGGTCATCGAAAAATGAAAACTTTAGCAGGATTGAGCGGAAGAAAGAGAGTACCTGGTTGGGCTGAGGAGGAGGCCATGGTGAAGTGGAAGTGAAGGGTGATTGATGAGTGATGATTCTTATGGAAAGGAAAGGGAAAGGAAGAAGCAAGGAAAGTGTTGAAGAGAGATAAAGAAAAAAGGAAAGTTCAGAGAAACACAGTTGATGAGGAACACATTTTGGACTTTCCCTTTTCTTTTTCACACCTTTTTAGTTTTTTAAACAGCATGCACTCTAATTAATTAAGAGAAATATGAGTATCAATTAAGAGATAAATAATATAGGATATTTATTTTAATTAGTTAAAAAATATGTGGATATTAATTAGAAAAGAAAAGTAGTAGGAGAGTTTTAGAGAAAAAAATACAGTATATAAAAAGAATAAATTTATTATTACCAGTTAATTTTTTTTTTAATATTGACGAATTAGATAATTAGGTTATATATATAAACAGATGTAATATATACCAAACGAGTAATAACACTAAATAACAATTTATACATTTTTTTTTAATTTATTACTCTCTATTAGATTAATGTGAGGTGAAATGAATGTGTCCTTTAAAAAATGGAGTTTGAGGAGTGATCATTACAGGATTTATCAATGGGAGTCGGAGGAGTCTTTCGTTCTTTTTCATTTTTTGCTGAGAAGAAATTATTTTGACACATGCTTAATTCAGGAGTTGACGACACTTCCATGCTCACCGTTTGAAATAGAAGAAAAATAAATGTTTGAAACACGTGAAGAAGTCAATTTTTTTCTCAAAAAAGAGGGGGAAGAATGACGTAAAACAAACATTTAATTCCAAAAATTCTGTTTATCGACTTTACCTAATCATTATTTATTTATATCAGCCAACTAACAAATATAAATGAAATTTTATGAAGAGCTCTGTTTTTATTATATTAGTAATAAGCATGAATTATTAATGTTCCTATAAAATGTTTAAAGAGGTGTTAAGAACCTTCTACAAACAAATATAAATCTCATCTTTGATTAATAAACATTGCTACAACGTCCGAAAAATTAAAATATTAATATGTTTTAATAAATTTATTATAAAATAATTATTTAATTTAATATTTTATAATTTAAAATATTATTTTATTCATTCAGAATGATTTTCGGCGTACAGATTCGGAGGCTCAATCATTTTTCTTGATTAATTCAGTATTACAACATTCGATGAATTCGTCAGGATAAGACTACTGTAATAACCGAATGATTTGTTCTTCATTAATTTAAAAGAATTTTATTTATCTAATACAAATATTTGGGGGTAGATTTTTTAATTTTATCAATAATTATATAAATGTCGTCTAACTTTTACCTTACTTCATCTTCTTTAAAAAAAAAAAAAAAAACCACTGGTTCATATAACTTTAGAAATACAATCAATGTGAAGTTTATTTTCTATTAACGGTAAAATTAAAGTCACTTTTTATACTTGGGAACCCAAACCTGGTCTTTATTATTAATTTATTCAATATAAACTTATTTACCCACATTCTTTAACATGCTAACGGAATATGCACATTTGATAACCATACCAATTTTATATTGATAAATGTTAAGAATATATTCTTCAACACATTATTTTGGAGATATTCTACTCGATTAAAATTTATTAAAAATCATAATTTTATAGATGACATCTCTTATATAATGAAACTCTACTTGTTGCTTCCAAAACACCTGGAATTAAGATACAAATGGAACTATACGTATAAAATAAAATTTTCAAAAGATTCCTATTAAATATTTTTCCTCCAAAACCCGATGACTTTCATATTATTTTTCAGTAGACATGTATATTTATTAATCTACAAAACGTTTAAAATATTCTTCACATTTTTCTAAAGTAGTATGAAAAAAGTAATTTTAAGAAGAAAAAAAATAGAAACCATAAAAAAATAATCATTCTTTTACAAAAATAAAAAGCTATCAAACACTTGAATTCAACATTTATGCTTTTAATAAGTTCACTAAAATCCAATACTCCTAAAACTGTTTTTTTAAAAAAACAAAAATAAAATCCTAAAATTGTACATAGCGAAAGGATCTTCATATAAGAAATAGGAGGCAAGCAGAATTTCCATCAAAGACCACGAGTATTATATAGTTAACATATTCTCACAAGATATGTTATCAGACTTACAAGCAACCGGCAACTGAGATAAATACCTACGTTTGAGATTGAAGACTTCAACAGTACCAAGCTTCAATTTGGGTGGCTGGTTGGCCAGTTGAGGAGTTTAAGACTGTTACAACATAGAAACAAATAAAAGATCATGGACATGAATGCAGAAAAAATAGCGAAAATTAGCTGCTCGGAGGCCACATTAACTAGCTCGATCCTAGAGACTGAACCTCCACGGGTAAAATCAAATGCACCTACAAGTATTTCCTTTTTCTCCTTTCTGATTAGGAGTATGCAATTCTAGAAGACTAGAATAAATTAGCAAGTTGCAATAAAAAGATGAAAGTAATTAATAGAAGTAATTCATTAGAAAATAAGGTAAAAGCCTTCACAGCCATTTGTGATATCTAAGCTCTGTATTTCAGTTGTTAGAATGACAGATACCTAAAGCACATAGCCACATCAAGATAGATCAAATCGAACAACTACACAAGTGATGTTGTCTGAGCTTCCTCGTGCATAAGCTTCTTTTATAAGTTCTCTGGATGCCACTTCTGCATCTGTGATATTTTGTACTAAAGACACGGCTTCCTGAAAAGGCAGGAACGGCACAATCAGATGCTCAGGTTCCATCAAAACATTTGTCGCCAACATGATTTACTAACATGACATTGTATGTGGATATAAAATGTTCTAATTCTTATAGCTAAAGAATAATAATATGATCACCCAAATTTTAAATAATACAAATACATGCTCCAGATGAAGAATCTACAGTGCTTCAAAATTGCCTGTGCTTTAAATATAATGTTTTATACTTTAACAGCATATAGTCTCACCTTGTTTGATATGACATTCCAAAGGCCATCACTAGCAATTATAATAAAATCAACACCGTCAATTTCTTCCTCCTAAGCCATAACAGGAGCAATTAGGCATAAGAAATATAACGACACAAATATACCTAATGGGTGGTCAAGCTTATGATTTAGGCAACCTGAATTTCTGGGTCAGCAACAACGTACGGTTTAAGAAGTTTGTCTCCAAATGCACGGGAAACAGCAAGAACACCACCAACCCTCCATGTTCCTGCATCAACATGCAGCAGTGCAAGCTATTTATTTATCTTCCATTTATTATGAAGTATGATCTCCCCCCCCCCCAAAAAAAAAAATGCCATACACTCATATAGAAAGAAACTTACCAGCCCAAATTATGAATCCCCCAGCCTGTTCAATCCTTCGCCGTTCATCGGATCTATCAGGCTTGTGATCGATCGACAAAGGAACAGCTACATTGAAACAAAAATTCAAATGAATGAAAAGAAGTGGGGAAAAAAAGGACAGAAATAGAAAATAATAAGGCTTCTTGAACCTATTTTGCCAATCGAACTGGTATAAGCAATTTCTAATGAAATTTTACAAAAAAAAACACCACTGATAACTTAGTAAAACTGAAGTGACCAAAAACCAATGTTTGACAATGTACTACGGTGAAAGGAAACGTGCTGCATATTTCCTCCATTCATCACCATATTAAAAATAGGCAAATTCTGCCCAATGTAAACCTAATTCTCACTACACATAATTGACATGGCATCAACCTGAACCAGCTCTACATGCAACTACTCTGGAATCACCAACATTTGCAACAACAATTCGATCTCCCAACAACATAGCTGTTGATGCAGTTGACCCAGCATCTCTTTGATGCCCCTTTTCTTCATTAAGGTAGTCAACATCTGTCTGTTTAAATGCTTCAACTGCAATAAAACAAATAATTAGAGAGAAAACAACTGTGATGTGATATGAAAATTTTACATTGCATAATTTTCCAGCAATGAAATTCATACCTATAGCAGTCTTTGTGTCTTTGATAAAGTCAGGGTGGCTACTCAAATTCTTAAATAGATTATTTTTCAGATATTCTGCAGTTCGAGAACCTCCATGGCCTAAAAGAATAAAAAGAAACAATTTTTCACTATTATTAGTTTAAGAAAGTAAATAGGAACTAGGAAAAGAGAAAAATAAAGAATATGGATAGAAAGAAAGTAGTGACAAAATGAGTGAAATTCTAGTTTGTTTGGTTAGATAGAGAGTGAAAAGGAAGAAATAACTTCTTAAATAAACATTGATCCTTAAAAAGAGTATGAATTTTATGAAATAATATTAACATTATTCTTTTATTTGATTTCTTAATTTTAATATATTTGGTAAAAATATATAAATAAAATTTCTTTTATAAGGAAACAAGGAGACAAATCCTAAGAGAGTATCTAAGATACTCTAAAATATCCTAAGATTGATATTGAGAGATATTTTTCATTTATTCAAACAAAACCTCAACCATCCTATATGTCCTAATTCTGCTGCTGTCAAATAATTCAAAGGGTGAATATCAGAAGATCATCTACCATTCTCATTTCCAATCCCTTACTCTGTCAATTTTGAATTCTAATCTAATAACTGATTCCTAGGTGCCTTCTCAACAAATTCAAAACTTGTTCAACTTCTTTAGAGATGTAAAAACCCACCCTAAACCCACAGAAGATTGAAAAAACTCTTCCAGTCATCAAGGGTACATTAACTCTTAAATTTTAGTGAGATAATATCATGAAACACTTTAAATTAAATCAATGGAAGTTATACCTATACTCACTTTAGAGACAAGCTCAGTTTAGACAAGTCTTTGGCTAGTACATTGATTCCATGATAAAAAAGCATCTCACCAATAGAATAAACAGAGCATACAAGTTATAAGAAGGAAACAGAACCACCAGTTTCTAAATGCTATGCTTGACAAGCAAACATCTTATAATTGCATAGTAAATTGGCTAAGTTGCACACCAAACCAGTAAAATCAATTAAAAAAAAAATAGAGGGAATGGGGGAAAATATAAATAATTGATTTGAGGGGATGCAACACAGAAACTTTACACTTACCATCAAAAACACCAAAAAAGGCAACCGTCTGGCCATCAACCTCTGATATTCTGGTCTCAAAGAAATCCTCCATTGATGACCTCTTACCCTTGAAACTGGAATATCCATAGCTGAACCTTCCATTTCGACTTCCAGAGAGGAAGCTAGACAGAAATAAAAGTACATATTCATTTCAAAGTTTTGAATATTTGAGAGTTGGGAGGCCATTATTAAAAAAATCAAAAGGATGCCTGAAACAAATTTCAACTATATATCATAAACCCCTGGGATTCTCTTTTAATGAAGTAAAACAAATGCTATTGGCAGTAAATAAGGCATACAAATCATGCCATTCATCACAATTTTCCATGATATCTGCCTTGTTCAGACAAGTTTATATCAGGTAGAGATCAAATAGAATTTAACTGAGTAAACATTTCCCAATATTACTTGATATATGGTCCATCTTTTTCTTCACCTAACCACTTACTAAATCATATATTTTCCCCTTTTACATATCACTTCCCTATTTTGAATTCCGAACTGAATTATTCATTATATAAGCAAAGAATGATTTTTGTTTCCTTTCTTATCCTTTAACTTTTAGCTCGAAAGTCATAGAGAAGAAACCTAATATCGGCAAAAAACCTCCCTCATTGCAAAAAAAGAATCTAAATAGCCATACTTCTTGTGTGTGGAATAAATAGTATGGTGTATGAGACATGGGATTTTTCAAAAATCTAGGATATGGGAATGTTAACATAAAATTTTAAAAATATACATAATAAGAAAATAGAATTTTATATAAATATGACAAAATTGTATAAATGATAAAAAAAACACAAATAAGCACAACTTATATCACCAAAGGAGAATAAATTCTTTGACATGATGAAAAAATATCACATAATAAAAAACTATATGTAATGTTCAACAATCAACATTATAAAGCCTAAACATGACTATGATACTACACCTTAACACTTTCAATCTTATCATTTCTCTGTCCACCATTTCCTTGTCTACATATGATCCACCAATGGTTTGGTTTAAAGTTCACAAATATCAGGGTACAATCTCAATACATACCCAAACCAATGTTATGAAACTCGGAATGATGATTGACATGCTGAGGGTACTAGATTAATGAATCACTTGTCAAACTAGTGAGTCAATGGTTGAATTGCAAGAACTAGTATAAATTGTAGTAACATAGATAGCTAAGGACAGACATACAGACATATATATAACTTTTTCCATATATATGCTAAGTAGTTATCATGATATTGAGGTGGAACTTAAATTATGACTTCCAGGTCTTAGGGTCGATTCATCCTCCATGCATTTTTCCTATTTTACTGCTTGAAATATCAACACTTGAACCTACACGTAGCACATGAGAGCTAGCCTTTGAAATATCAAGTAGCATAGGCATAGCACATGAGAGCTAGCCTTTGAAATATCAAGTAGCATAGGCATAGCACATGAGAGCTAGCCTATGCAAATATCAAGTAGCCTAGAACATGCATTGCATTCCATGGACATGATTGCAAAGCCAATCTAGCATCATTGAAAGTCAAGATCTTCGAATGTGACTGCATGGCAGTTTGCACTGGTTTGATGATGTTAAGACTAACTGACCAAGTTAATAACTTGTAAATTTTAGATTTTAAAGCTAACTCAACTGTACAAAATCAGCTTAAAAGGTGAGAATTTCTCAAGCTTCATATAAGCCATATCTCTAATCCATTTGAAACTAAACCACCTAAGCCACATCCCAGTGGCTGCAATCAATGATATGATTAACCCCGCCTTTCTGGTCAGCCCCTTCGCAGGTAGATCTCTCTGGCCAAGGAGTGACCACAATTTTGGTGGCCTTCCAATAATAACACATCTAATATAATAATTAAACTGATCCAGTCATGGAATCGGTTTCCAATTAGACTAGTCCAACCAGTTAGTCCAAGTCGAGTTTAATAGCACAAACCCAAACAATGCCCATGTACCCAAATTGAGTACCCTTTTTATAATATATATATATATATATATATATATATATATATATATATTGTGTGTGATAAATCCTGATATGTACCTTTGAGTACCCAACACATATTAGGTATAGGTATGTACCCAATACGTGTTTGACATTACTCTACCCCGTGCTTTAGAAGTTGTGATTACATAGAAATAGAAACCAAAGATATATATTTAAAGATTTGAAATTGTTTGAAATAATTACTGGGAGGATGGATAGAATCACCTTTATCCTTTTCTGGCTTTGGCCATTAGACCCTTAACTTCTAAATTTGGCAACAAACCTCCCTCAATGTAAAAAACATCTAAACAGCCATACTTCTTGTGTGAGGAATAATTTGGCTTTCTAAGCATCAATTGTTTAGTTTTGGGACTGATTGGTGAATTGGTAGTCACAAAGTTTATGCATAAGGGGGTAAAAATAGTCAGTGGAAGGGAGAAGCCATTGTTCCTCAGATAGCAAGTCTTGGAAGTCTCATGAAATTATATTACAGAGCAACATAATAAGGTCTTCCAAAAAAATACTATTGTAATACCCTAAGTGTGAACCCCATCCTTCTTTTATTTCCTTTCAGCCATCTCTCTCGAAAAGAGTAACCCTACAGACATTAGTTTATGTTTCAAGAAATGTATTAAAGGGTAACAAGAACCACTACTTTACAAATGCTTTAGAAATAAAGACTAGTATTACTCTAAAGGATAAGAAGAACCACTACTTTGCATCCCGAACACTGCCCAACTTTGTAACTTTAATGTCTGACTATAAACTGAGTCTACAACAAATAAATAATAAGTTAAAAGAAAAGTTGCTCAAAAGTAGCCGTAGGTGCAGGTGGTTGGTCAGTTGTAATGACAATTTAGTAAAACAAAAGATTGCAATTCATGAAAGGTAAAAAAGACGCCGCGTGAGGAACATAAACATAATAGCAGTATGGAATGGTACATATAGCCCTAATGACCATATCTAACAAACACTAACATATAGGCATTTAAACTTCCCTCCCCACTTTCTTCAGAACCTTAAATCTCAACAAGGAGCAGAGCGAAACAGTCTCATCATGAATTTGCCGATGACATATCACATTATGTCATACCGTATAAACGTATGATCATTGACCTGACATTACAATGCAATAAACCATGGTCGCAATTTACAAAACATATTAACACTAGATTTTCTAGTCACGATGAGAATTCAGCATTTCAATTTATCCAATCGAGTTAGTTTATGAGTTTCCGAACTCAAATTTTCCGCTATGCGATGCCGTTCATCCCGACGGCGAATTAACCGATTAAAAGCTTCAATTCGAACACCAAAGGGATACAAAATTGAGTAAAGTAGAGCAATAGCCTATGAGAAATGGAAATTGTCTGAATAAATCAAAATAACCACCTCATGCCGCCACCGCTGAAGAGAGAATCGTGATCCCTGGAGGTCATGACAATGTTCGGTGCCGCCGGCGTTGCAGGCTTATGTTCATTGGAAGAAGAGGCGGCTGTTACGACGCCGGCGGTGGCGGTGGCGGTGGCGTTGGCGTTGGCCGCCGTGGCTGGTTCCACAGTGTCCGAGTTTGAGATCATTTTACCATCTTCACAATTCTCATATCTCTCCCTCTTTTTTATTTTTTATTTTTTCTCTATCCCTCTCCTTCTACTTTGTTCACACATTTACAAAGCATGCAGGGAAGGCCCACAATACAAAGCCCAATACTGCTAAAAGCCCATGATCTGACTGCTGTACAATGAATCAAGTACGCATGAACAGTACCGAAGACCGATGAATCAGAAACTGAAAAAGTAAACAATCAAAGCTTAATTTCTTCTATTCTTTCTCCACAGCAGGCCCAAGTACATTACGATGGTGACAGTATTGGGCCTCAGCCCTATATTTGAAATTGTGATTATTAATAGGAGTTGAGTAGGTTGGGTACTTGGGTGAGGTCAAAAAATGCACTACAATAACTAACTATAATATTATTCTAACAAATAACTATCAGTAACATGTCACACACACATATTACAAGCTTTTATGCATTCTTATTATAAAGGGATTGTTTATAAATAATATCATTCTTTTGTATTTCTTTAATAAGTGTTACAGAAATGAATATATATAAAGTTGCAGAAATAATGATGAAGAGACTTTATAAATCGTAATTAATCATTACCTTGAGAGATCTTATAGAGTTGGTTACACTGAGACTCGCTTTTTCTTAATAAAGCGTTCTTGAGTGTTTAAGCATAAATTAAGATTAGTTAAATCTTATAGAAAACGCATTGAAGTGGACAACAAGTGTAGTAAAAGGTCTCGCATATGATCCAATAGGTGGGAGCCCCACAAACATATGTATAGCTGTTTTCTTTCTTTCATATAATTGGAAAAATCCAATACACGAATCCATCGTTACAAGGCATCACATGTGAAGTTCCAAACACTTAAATCTCCATTCGCTGAAATGGTCGTTTCGAGGAATCCATGTCAATACACAAGGATCAAGAGAAAAATCTTTTCCCTGATGTACATATAAATAAAGAGGAAAGGGGAAAGCCACAGGACAATAAATGTGCCAGGTGGTCATGTTGATTGACTTAATATATGGTGGTTTGGTTTCTTTTACCCTTGGCCATACGTATAATAATTACACACATTTTCTTTTCTTTCTTTTTTTCTGGCTAGTGAAGGAACTAATTAATGCTGCTACCATCATTCTGGTGAGGCAGTAATGAATGAGTTCAAATGCACCCCATCTCCACCTCGTGCTAACTAGTAATTGTGATGATGGATGACCCATAATTTGCATTTCCATGCAACTCCGTCTTCATGTTTTAAATTTCTAATTATAAGTCCAATGAATTTGAATATCTTCTCTTCTATCTGCTCTGGTGTTATCAATGAATAATGAGCGGTAAATAATTTCCTTAATTTGTATGGCAGACAAAAAAAGAAAATTATTTTTATATATGGTAACTTACTCTATTTATTGACAGTTTTTGTTACCCTTTTTCTTTCCCAATAAAGGAGACACAAAACCACCTCATTAATTTCCTTTATTTCCTTGAAAGTAAGGAAAAGGAATTACTGTTGTAGATATACATATTTGGTTCTCATTTGAAAATACACAAACCATGGATTTAGGATTCCAAATGAGCAAATACACATCATAATAGTTAATTAACACCACCAACCAAAAAGAACAATAAAAGGAAATGACACGGTAAGCGACAGCCATGCAGAAATTTAGGTTACTAGCATCCCTAGTGGAGAACAATATCACGCCCACATTAATGTCATGAACTTTATTTCATCAACAGCACAATAGTACAGGGTTTTGAAGTTTTTTCCTCTTAACAAATTAACTCTACACTTACATTTCCTTCCTCCGACCAATATATAGAACTATATGTTTAATTAAACTAGAACGAGAACAAATATTTGAAAGCTGGAAATTAGTTATCATGACACAATAACTTCCTAAATAACCTGTATAGTTTGAGCAATTGAGCTAGAGTTTATAATATTCTTTCTATACCCCTATCTCTCTCTGTATTAATTCCTTCTAAAGGAGCATCCTGCTAAAATCCAACCTCACAAAGCTGAGATATTCATCATTGATCCAATCGTACTTTTCCTTGAAAGGGTTGTTTAGTGTGTTTGGAGGGTAACTTTCTATGCAGTCTTTCCACACATTAGCATCAGACAAGTCCCTCATCACCTCCCAAACACAGTTGTTACACTTAAACCCAGCTCCAAGACTAATCATGAGGATCCTATCACCCTTCTTGAGCCTCTTCTTGGCCTCCATGTACCCCAAAACATACCAAAGGCCCCCAGCAGAAGTGTTACCCCAACGATGAAGAGCCATCCTTGCAGGTTCAAGGTCGTACTCATTCAACCTCAAACCCTTACCAACCCCATCAATCACTGCCCTCCCACCAGGGTGCACACAAAAATGCTCCACCCCAGCCTTGAAGTTCAATCCCCCTCCCAACACATTAAACGTGAAGATCTTCTTCATCTTATTCTTACCCTTCCCAAGGACCAACCCTGTGAGAAAGGGCACAAGCTCCCTCTTCTTCATGTCACTAAACCTTACAGATGCAAAGAAAAACCTCAACATCTCCCACAGTGGCAGAATGTTTGGTGCCATGGCTTGAAGGTTCACTGTCAAGGCTTGTGCAGCGGACTTAACAAGACTCTTGGTCAGGCGAAAGCCTGAGTACCCTAACTCATCCTCCACCTGTATGCAGCAGTTGTAAGCCTCATCATCAGCACCATACTGAGTCCTCTCCATGTGCTTCAGCTTCAGTATCGCACGGCTCTTGAGAGAGGTCTTGTTTGTGAACATCATGGAACATCCTCCAGAGCGGAAGAGACAGTTAGAGAGCATCATCTTCTTGTCCCTTCCGCAGTACCAATGTGCACCAAGATCCTCAGTGCTCACAACAACACCGAGAGAGTTCTCATAAGTCTTGAAAAGCTGCTGCACCACGTCGATAGCAACCACACTCGCACTGCACCCCATTCCAGTGAGGTTGAAGGCTTTCACATCTTCTCTCATTTTGTACCTGTTTATGATACGTGCTGTGAGAGAAGGTGCTGGGGAGAACAAGGACACGTTCACCACGAGGATGTCTACCTCGGAGGGATGAATCCCTGTTCTCTTGAAGAGATTGTCGAGTGTGTCAAACATGATCTCGTCGATTTCCTCGTACGTGTCTTTAAGAGTTGGACACTCCTCTCTCCCTTCGAGAACCGTTCTGGGGCAGTAAGTGTTCTCGCCGATGCCGGAACTCACGATGGTTTTGAGGAGGAACCGAAGCTCCTCCAGCCTCAGTTTCTGGTTTCTGAGGACGATTTTTGCGGCGGAATCAGTGTCGAGTTTGGTGTCTTCTGGGGGCTTGAAGCACTCGTAGGCTAACATGTAACATGGTTGGCCTCTACGTTGGAGAATCAACTTGAAGAGGGTGAAGAGGGAGTAGAATAAGAAGGGAAGGAGGCATAGGAACAAAAGATCCATCACTAAGAAATAAGGGATTTGGATGTCTCTAATTGTGAATGCTTCATGTGCAAATGCTTCTATATATATATATACGCAGTGCAATATGCAAGTTGTACGTTACTAGTTGCGTGAGGGCTGTGGGGTGTGCCCTACTACAGACAACTCTGAACCAGACGATATTGACTTTGGTTAGTGCTTTTCATTCTAAAAAAATTAAAACAAAAGACAATGATGTCTCACACAAATAAATATTAGGGTTTAATGACCATTTACTCTCAATGTAAAAGTTTTTCTGCTGTATGCTGTAAACTCATTAAAAAAAAAAAAAAAAAAAAAAAAA